TTACCACAGATATTTAGACACCACGTCTCATTCATAAACTACAGAACCAGCGTTGCCAGTAGTCGTTCTTAGTCTTGAACCTCCTACTTTTTGAAGAAAAGTCATAACAGGATAAAATATCAATCCGTAACAATTTGGCAACCAAATTGGAGGGGATAGACCGGTGGTGGATTGCTCTCCTAGATGTTGGCGACACAAAATTTTATTTACTGTAATGTCTATCTGTGTTAATATGTCATTGGGCTGTACTGAGTTCTTGAGGGGGAGGAACGACCTATCGTATTTTCTTCAAGTACTCTCACCCCCACAGAGCAAAAAAACAGCAACTTAGAACGTGAAGCATTGGCTGTGATCTTCGCCGTTAAGAAGTTCCACAAATATTTATGTGGGCGTAAATTCACACATAGTTTTGACCATCAACCACTCCAATTTAATTTCGCAAAAAAAAAAAATATATACCTACAACAGCTACTTCAAGAGTCACCCGATGGGCAATTATATTATCTGGCTTGGCTATCAATATGATATTACATAAAAATCCATAAGCAATGCTGCTGGTTTGTCACGTTTACCTTTATCTGATCAAACTGAGGTTCCTGATTTCATTCATTCTTTTAATTTGGTCAACGAAATTCCTTCAAATGTTGATTACATTGAGAAAGCTTCACATAAAGATCCACTACCTCTGAAATTAAAGAACTTCATTTTGTCAGGATGGCCAAGTACTGTTGAAGATGAAAAATTAAAACCATTCTTCAAGCACAAAAATGACAGAGTTGTTATTCCAGCTATATTAAGACCTGAAATCCTTAAACTCTTCCAAGAGCAACACTCTGGTATTGTTCGTACCAAAATGTTGATTCGATCCGGTGGCCAAATATCAATAATGGTGTAGAAAAATGAAAGTATTGCTTTATGTGAAATTTGTCAACAATTTCAAAATTTTACCAACAGTAGTCCTGTCTTATCTTGGCCAGAAGCACAACATAATTTTAGTATATTTATAGATTTTTTTAAGAAGTTCAATTATACATTTTTACTTGTCTACGATCAAAAATCGAAATGGCTTGGAGTGAAATTATTGTATCAGAGCACCGTTGCTTCGGAAACTATGTCAAAATTGGAAGAGATCTTTTCTATTTTTGGCCTGTAGAATTGATCTCTGATAATGGTCCACATCCACCCTATAATTCAGTCGAATTTGTTTCTTTTTATCAAGCAAACGGGATAACCCCAATTAAATCTCCTCCATGGCATCCGCCTAGTAATGGTTTTGCGGAAAGGGGAGTTCAAATAGTTAAAAAAGATCTAAGAAAAGCGTTGTTCTCAGAAGGAGAGAATATCACAAAACAACAAATTTTATTAAAATTATCAAGTTTCTTGTTTTCTTATCGAAATACACCAAGCACAAGTAATGGTATTTCGCCGGCTGAATGCATGCTAAGACTGAGACGAAGAACCAGATACGAATTCCTAAAACCTTCTGGCCATAGTCGACATGTTAAGGGTAGTTCTGATAATATTCCTAGAGTAAAAAAAATGGAATAAACTTAACAAATCAGTTTATGTGAAAAATAAACAAACCAAGCTTTGGCAGAAAGGCAAAATTGTAAAAGTTTCAAGTTTTTGTACATATTTGGTACAAGTTGACTTGCTCATCAAATTAGTTCATGCAGATGCATTGCGTTCTGATTTAAGCTTGAAGGATTCAACAAATAATGATGTTAGTGATGTAAGTGTTATACCCAATAATGTAAGTTGTGGTGCACTTGCTAATGGTCCCCAAACCAAAGTTTTACCCCAATCAGCGCCGTCACAGTAACCTCAAATTATTAAACCATCAAGTGCCACTGAGATCGAGTTCAGTCCTACATGTCTCTCACAACCAACCGGAAATCCTGAAAAAGTTCCACAAGTGATTCCTAAAAGTGTAACTCCAACAAAAGTAACGGGTCTTCAAAAAAAACAATCGAAGATTGCTATGATTTTTTAAACGTACGTCGCATCGCATTATTGTTTATTGGTCAGGATGTTTGACATGATATTTTGACATTAAATTTTATTGATAAAATTAAAGAGAAATATTGCTAAGACATACGTTTAAAAACCCATAGCAATCTTTGATTGTTTTTTTTTTGTTGAAGACCCATTGGCCAGTATGATTAAAAAGAGTAGTTACTTGTACTTCAAGTAAGAGCAGTTACTTCCTAGTAATTTGTGGAGTATAATCTTTTACATAAAGTAAATTCTTTTATGAGAAGTATTTACTTATAGGTTAGAAGTATAAACTATACCTTTTCAACTTCAAATTGGGATCAATCAATTTCAATTTGGAACGTAGCAATTTCAAATTGGGATAAATAAACTTTTAATTGGTAACTAACACGTTCAAAATGGGAATAAACAAAATCAAATTGGAAATAAACAATTTAAATTTGGTACTAATCAACTTCAAATTGGAATTGTTGAATAAATTTTAAAGTTTTGCAAGTTAAACGGCAGTTATGCATTTAAACCGTATATTAAATTAACAAAATGCCTTACATTAAAGCACCTGATGCAGAAAATGCTGAAAAGCAAATATGTGCTGTTTTTAATATCAAAGGCGACTGAAGAGGATTGGCTAACACAGCGTATCGATGGGTAGGTACCCAAGAAGTTGTTCGAAGGAAACGTGGGGGATGAAGAAAAGAAAACATTTTAGAAGTACATAAGGTATAAACGACTGGATACATAGAGGAATATCCTGAAATTACGCTGAAATAAAAGAAAAATTTGAACAAATCTCATTTTGATGAAATGTGTTCATTCGCAACTTGCAAATCACTAATCAACCTTGTTTAGCGCATCAGGTATAAAGCGTTCAATATGAGCTACGTCTGGCACAAATATTTTTCTCAAATTCGAAGAAATAGTTCATGATTCTCTAAGGGACTTGAATGTAATCGGAAGGAAAAACAAACTCGAAGTCAAAGTCTGAAATATAATTTCCTAAACTGAATAAGTCTATTCCCAGTTTGAATTTGTTTCTTCCCAAATCAAAATTGATTAGTCCCAATTTGAAGTTGATTAGTACCAAATTAAATATGATTATTCCCAATTTGATATTGTTAATTCTCAATTTGATTTTGTTAGTTCCCAACTTGAAGTTGTTTAGTCCCGATTTGAAGTTGAAAAGGTATAGTAGTAAATATTAGGACGTGTTTAACCTCAATTAGGCTCTTTTTATTTCTCATGTGGATACCATCTATCGCTCCTATTTCCTCAAGTATCGTTGATCCATCTTTAGCTCATTCAAGTCGCGGCCATTTTTCCAAATTCCACACAATTTTTTGTGAAACTCCTTTAATTATTTTTGACACGGTTATTTGATGTACCCCGACATCTACATCAACTCCTTGTTGAAATGCAGGATCACTTAGGGCCGGTATTATAATATCCGGTTGACCGATGGTTGAGTTTCAACCGAGGTTTCAACCTTCGGTCAACTGGTCCTTTGGACCTTTTCTTACCATTATAATTATCAAAAAAAGCCATTCATAACGCCTTTTCAATCGAAGCAATTGATGTGAAGTTACTCTTGAGTAGCTTCTCAAAAACTACACGGAATACTCCCAAATGGAGGAAATACTAGAAATCATTAGTAATTTCTGCAGTATAAACTTCCATACAGGGTGTCCCACAATCAGCGTTACAGGCCATAACTTTCTTAATTTTAGAAATAAAAATTTCAAACAAAAAATAGGAATAATGGCAAGTTAAGCTCTCTCAAAAAATATAAAAAAATCTTTCCCTGACAAAATCATCCCCTAACTACTACCCTTGACTTTTTTTTTCAAATGGCACCCCTATTATTTTTTTTTTTTTTTTCATTTTTGAGAAGCTCATGAAATTACAAATTTGATGGTGTATGAAAAGTTTGTTTTTCTATGTCTCTTGGAGGGAAAAAAATGGGTGTCCCACAATTACCCCTATACAAGCGATCACTTTTTTATCTACAAAAATACAAATATGACAAAAAAAAAACATTGATAATGTGCAAATTAACCCCTTTTCAAAAATATAGAAAAAATCTTCCCTAACAAACTCATCCCCTAAAAACAACTTTTGCCTTTTTTTCAAATAGAATCCCATTATTATTATATTCATTTTTGAATTTGCGATTTCATGAGCTTCTCAAAAATAAAAACAAAATATAGGGGTGCCATTTGAAAAAAAAAGTCAAGGATTGTGAATAGGGGATGCTTTTGTCAGGGTAAGATTTTTTTATATTTATGAAGAGCGCTCAACTAGCCATTAAACGATTTTTTGTTTCAAATTTTTATGTCTAAAATTAAGAAAGTTATGGCCTGTAACGCTGATTGTGAGACATCCTGTATATTTAAGTAAATAGATCAAAGTATTTGCTTCTCTAGTACTTACTTTAAGAATTATGTGGAGTAAATAAAAGTGAAAGCTTCAAAGTGGAACATTTACTTGAAGTAAAAGCAAATACTCCTTTAAGAATGGGTCTGGGGCAAGCACGTTGTAATCATTGATTTATATTTTGCGTTCTCACTAGATCACTTAAGATCGTCTTGTAACATTTAAATACATAACACGGACAAGCAACAGAATATATAGAACATTTAATCTGTGAATGCCCTGCTCACTTCTGCAAAAGGCCGTGATGCCTTGGCGCTAACAGTCCAGGAAGTAGGCACTCTACCACCCAGGACGCTCGCTTCTTTTGGGAAAAGCCTACAAATCTCGGACACCAATTAAAAGCAGACCACAATTTGCTTGACATCTTGTGGAGAACTAGAGAATATCTACATTGTTAATAATATTGGATAGTTTTGTGTTTTTGCAGTTTTTTGGTATTTATTTATCAGTTGTTCACATTTTCTTCACTGGTAATTATGATAGGTATTTGTTTTGTTTCAGTATCACTTTCGTCTTGATTAAATTGTTTTGTATTTTGATTTTTTAACTGTTTAATAATCCAGAATTTATAGCTTTTGTATATAGTTTCACTAGATGTAAAATAACTTATTTTAGATATTATTTTTAAGCTTTATTTTGTATTTGTTATAATTTATATTTCGAATGTATTCATTATAAATTTATTTAGAATGTTATAATTGGTTTGCGGGCATATTTTTCATAAACATCATTCCACATAGAATGGATGTTAAGTCTCTTTATCTTCTTAATTTCCAAAGTTTCACTAAAAACCAATTGCGAGTAATCTTGATTATTAAATGTGGTCCATGTAACATTGTTTAGTAGTTCGGATTTTTCTGGAGTTGGATTTCTAAAAACAAAAATCAATTATTTTTATACCAAAAACTTGTGGTAGAAAGGCTCACAAATATTTGGCAAAATTGGTCCAAAGTTTAACGGCTCTGTTTTGTGTTAAAACGTCCAAGGGATCCGTTGTTATGTTCTGTCGGTCGCGGGTAAATAGGTATGGAAGTTCGGATCCGTGAGCTACTCTTCCAGCACCTGAATATAATTTCAGCAAAGTATAGCTTCAGAAGCATTTCAGTTCAGAAACGAATATTGCAGATCATACCTTTGATCATACTTAATAAACAGGTACATATTTCAAAGATTGATAAAGAAGGTTTAGGTTTGAAAATTAATTAGCAAGTATGGATAAAAGTGTAAAATATAGATATCATATTACCTGGAACGTAGGCATCTGTACGATTTCGTCCACCAAAGTAGGCAAATTTATAATGGTACACTGGAACGTATTCCGATGCCAAATCTGCTTGTTTCATGACTCCCCTTACAAACAAATTATCTGAAAAATACTACAAAAACAATAAAACTAATAATTTAATGATTATTGTTACGTTAATGAATGCATCCAAATTATCAGCAAATTGTCTATTTTTGCCACCCAGATAGGCATCCCTGATAGTGTCAGCAGCCACCGCTTCATCAGTCGAGTTTGGATACAAATCAAAGGGTAAAACTCTTTCTTTTTCTTGATCATACATAGTGGCTACCTCTTTGACGTGATTTAGATCTAGGAAAGAGAATTTTAAGCATAGGTACTCTTTATGCATTAACATTTTTTACCTCTGAAGAATGAAAGGGATTCCTCAGAAGTTACCCCTGTCATAAATGGAACTCTATTGAACTCTCCTCTTCTCAATAATTCATAGGGTGACTCTGTCATGAATGCATCTTCGCTTTCGGGCTCCAAAGTAGGCCAAGCTTGGACCTACAACGACAATTCATCACTTCAGGAATAATGCCAACATTCAACATCTCAAAATTATATAAACTTATGGAAGTCAGACTTTTCTAGAGTTCGATTACTTACACCTTGAGGCAATGATTCATTGACAGTGCTTTCCAGTAAATTCTGTGCAGCGGTGATAATTTCAGTCGCGCTTCTCTGCTTCAAAAATTCCTTAAGTTTCCCAGTGTCATTGCCATAATTTCCACCAGGAATCAAATCAGCAATTCTAAAAGCCACCGATCTGGCATCTTGAACTGCTGTCCAATAACAAATCCCAGAACCACTTTCGACGATTGCAGCACGAAACAAACCTAACATCATGTGAAAATATTGATTTGCCTTATACAGAAAAACATTACCTTTAGATCTTTTGCTAATCAAGTGCAGTCCTGTAGCACCACCTCCGGCACTTTCTCCAAATATTGTCACTTTGTTTTTATCGCCACCGAAAAATTCAATATTCCTTTGCACCCATTGCAAAGCCAAAACTTGGTCTTTTAAGCCCAAATTGCCCGGAAGATTGTGATCGGAAGTAGCCAGAAAACTTAGCGGACCGACACGGTAGTTGAAAGAGACAATAATGATGTTTTCTTCAATAAGGAAATCAGGTCCATAAGTAGATTTGGCTGAATTGCCACTGCGAAATGCTCCACCGTAGATCCAAACCATAACTGGGAGAGGAAGGTCAGTCTAAAAATTAATTCAATTGTAATTAAAAATTACCTTGTGAAAAAAAGATTACCTTCAAATTTGGTGTGTAAACATTAATTTTCAAACAATCTTCGCTTTCAGCATTAGGATCGACCAAAGATTGGCTGGTTAAACAAGATTTGGCATCTTTTGTAGCATTGAGGATGTCTGTCCACGCTTTTGCTGGACGGGGAGACTAAGAAAATTGATGTTAAATTTGAAAGCTTAACCTGAAACAAACCTCACTTCATATCTTAGATCTCCTACAGGTGGTTCTGCATAAGGAATAGCCAGAAATCCAACATAGCTGAAGTTGTTTATGGGAGTCGAATATTCTGCTCCTCTTACTTTACCGTCTGGTAAATTGACGACAAGTTTGTCATCTGTTTGGGAGAAGCACCACTAAAAGGAATTGAGAATAGCTTACAATCGAACAATTTTAGAGTAACTTACCCCCAAGTTGAGCAATGATAAAACAAGAAAACTTAATATGGAAGTTCTCATTTTGGGACCACTACTGATGCGAAATAGAGAAGAGGGTTTTCCTTATAAATAAATATTTATCAGCTTATCTGCTTTTTGGCCATATAGGTATCTAACCCTTCTATTTTGATAAAATAGGTCTTGAGTCTTGAGTTTTTTATCACCACATTCATCAATAGATTTTTCACACGAGTCGAAGTGACTTGATAATTCAATGGGAATTTTATTTATGCTGGCAATGTACTGAAAAGAAAAACTGTCTCTGAAAGTTTTTTGACTTAAATTGCACAAAGGCAACAAATCTCGAATTATAAATGTATGTAAAGTTTACTTCAACAAAATAAAAACTTGATTAGTGTAATTTGGTATAGGACAATTTAACGAATACGCAAATTCCTACTAAAATCAGAGGCTTAAAACGTTAGGTTTCGTTTTGACGCTGGAAAAGTTAGGGCAAACCACAGATTAACCCCGTAACTAATCGGTGGGGTGGGGCAAATATTCACAGAATTAAATCTGGCTTTTTCATGGTGAGAGGGAGATTTGAGAAAAGATTGAAACAACCAGATAGGACCGAGGGCTTTTTGTGAAATTCAAAATTTTTTTCAGGATGAGAATTATATGAGATTAATTATAGATAGACTAAAGACCTGTCCAGGTACTGTCTCAATGCCAGTTACCTATAATCGGGCCAATTGGGGAACATGATTGAATTGGAAATTGAAGTGAAAGAGCAAACAGATATTTTCATATGTAATTATTTATTTTCCACATAATTTCAAACATAAATAATATGTAAAAGTACGTAATAAGAAAAGCTAATAATGCATGCACACGAGGAAAAAATATTCAAAACATTTTTGACTTTTTCATGATGGTGGGAGGGAGATTTTGGAAAAGATTGATTTTTTGTAAGAGAAACCTTAAGTTGATTTCAAAAATTGTTTCAGGAAGAGAATTAAGTGAAATTAATTATAGACTAAAGACCTCTCCAGGTACCTTATCAATCAAAATAAAATTTTATGCAATACTCAATTGATAAATGACTTGCGTTATTATTATACACTTACACTTACATGAGAGCTTTTTTTCCAAAGTATACTTGACATTTCAATGAGAATTTTGTTGGCTGGCAATTTACAGGAAAAAAACTGCCTCTAAGGGCCGGTTTCTCAATAGCAGATAGCAGCTCACCCCCGAGTTGAGCATAACTCCAGGGTGAACATTGCAACTGAACACGTTTACCCTGGAGTTAAAACCAACCCGGAGATGACTCGCTATAAAAAACCCACCTTGAAAGTTTTTTGAGTAAAATTGCCTAAAGGCAACAAAACTTGAATTAATAAATGTATGGTGTATGGCAAGTTTACTTCGACAAAATAAAAACTTGAGTGTAATTCGGTAATTAATCTGTGGGACAAACTTTATTCGCTGTCATAATAACAAAAACATGCACCACAATTAAATAAACAAGACATATAAACTCCTGATACCTGAATGATTTCACGCTGATCAAGTCTCCCCAAAAGCTGCTCTAGAGTGGACTCACCGGAAAGCAACTTTCAATAATTTCATATCATCTATTGATAAGCTAAAAGATGATGAAAAACTTCAACTCTTGGTAAACTGGTTCGAAAATGATTGTTGGAGATGATAACCACCCTGAAGCTTGATGAAACCAAGAATCAAGCTCTATCTCCACAATCAGCACCAAAACACTTAGAAACATATCGCATCTCTCAAGAAATTAGATATTTTCTGATTAGTCGCCATTTTCAATTCAATTGATTACTGATCAAAAATCTGTATCTTTTCTGTTCCATATAGTAGCAAAATCAAGAAGGAAAAGATTTTAGGATGGCGAGTTGAAATATCATGTTACACCTATGATACAATATAGACCAGGATGAGAAAACGAAGTAGGTGATTAATTTTCTCGAGCATGTGGTTCAAGTCAGAAAATTTTATATGATTTACATCGTTGACCTTAATTTATTAAAAATCAAGGGACGCTCATGAAAGCAACTTTGACTTTCGAGAGAATATATCTCTAGACTTCACAGGCCCTTTTCCATCTGATTCAAGGAAGAAATATAGGTATACTTACTATCGCAGACGAGTATTCTCGTTTTCCATTTGCCTATTCATGTCAAGATATGACTTCTGAGACAATGAATATCATGTATAATTCTTGTTTAATGAAGCCTAATTTCCAAAGGTAATTCGGTAGGTATAACAGTACACTTATGGTATTTTTAGTGTACGGCTTAAATTAGAAACTAAAAACTTATCAATAAAAATAAAATTTTGTGCAATACTGAATTCGAAATTGAAGCGATAAGCACAAACAGATATATTTATAATTATTCATTTTCTAAATAATTTCACATGCAAACAAGAGAATGTAGTATATACTAACCTGAGAACTCTCAGCCTAAAACAGGATTCAAGCTTCAATCGATTGCATTTTTATATGCCACCAATAACAGATACAGAAAAATTTTGAAAACAAATTATTTGGAGCCTAGGCGTAAACTTGCGTTAAAATAATATCTACACTGTGGGCCAAATTTATTTGGAACCCAATTTGGCTATGAATAACTTTTTTTTTATTTTGCGGATTTTTGTGAAATTTCATGTGTATATTACTGGAGCCTTTCCTTAATTGTAGACAAAATATCAAATCAAAATATACAGGGGGAGCCAAGTAAGAAGCAGTATTTTGATTCGTTGCCTTTGGGGCTGTTGCAAAATTAAATTTTTCACTCTAAAACTACATAAATTATTTGAAAATATTGAGAAATTATCGGAAAAGGGGCTATAAAAAAATGTTTCGAAAAACTTCAGGTTTTGTATTGAAAACGTATATTTTTCGAAAACTTTGTTATAATAATATTATCATACAGTGTAATAGGGTTTTATTGAAAAACAAATTCTCAGAGCGAAAATATGATAAAAACAGTTATTTTCCTAACAAGTGCGCAAAGTGATACTTTCCCGCACGAAAAAGCAGTCAGACGAACGACGCGAAGCGGAGTTCGGATAAGCTTTGAGTGCGGGAAAGACACTTTGCGAAAGTGTTAGGAACAATATTTTTTCTACGAGTACCTATCTTAAAAAAGTAGACTTTGAATTGTTAAAATATTAGAAAAATCAATCAAATCAAAATCTTCAAAAATCGTTTAAAATCTATTGGAATTCCTCAGAATTTCTTTTAAATTAAATCCCCAAATATCTTTTTACATCTTCTGGAATTTCTAGAACCAGCAAGAATATTTTCATGAGAGTCTCTTAAATTTTACAAATTTCTAGCAGAACAGGCTATTCCAATTTGGACACCTTTGATAGGAAACATCATGTTAACTAAGCGTTAATTTCAACTAAAACCCTTCATTTTGAATATTAGTTTATTCAGAAACCATCAAAACATTGAAAAATCAAGTATAACTATGGTAATTATGCGTAACAAAAATGAGTGCGCAAAGAGTTTCCGTGCGCAAAGTTCAAATTTGCGCACGCAAATGAGTGTGCAAAGTGATTACTTTGCGCACGCAAGTAGAAAAAAGGATTTTTCAATAATTTTTGAAGAACCTATCATAAATATGAGCTCCCTGATTATCTACAACAGCTTGGAGTCTTCGTCGTCTTTTTCCAGCTGACTCATTTATAATTTCTTGACTATATTGGACAATGGCGCCAAAGTCTTCAAGCTATTAGATAATCAGGGAGGTCATATTCATAATAGGTTCTTGAAAAATTATTGAAAAATCTTTTTTCTACTACCGTGCGTAAAGTACTCACTTTACGCACTATTCAGAAGACGTAAAATTTCACTTCACGCACTAGTGCGTAAAGTAGTTCACTTCACACACTAGTGTGTAAAGTAATGTCAATGACAGATGTCAACCTGTCAAATTACTATTTTTCTGGTAAATTACTTCACGCACTAGTGCGTGAAGTGAAAATACTTTACGCACTAGTGCGTAAAGAATTTGTCAAAATTTATTTTTTTACACATATTTGCGTAAAGCACCCTTTTTTCACTCATGTGATTGTCGCACTCGCCTTGAAAAAAGGTTCACTTTACACACTTATTGCATAAATAACTATTTTCTACTACCATGCGTAAAGTACTCACTTTACGCACTATTCAGAAGACGTAAAATTTCACTTCACGCACTAGTGCGTAAATTTATTCACTTCACACGCTAGTGCGTAAAGTAATGTCAGTGACAGATATCAACACTGTCAATTTGGCATTTTTCTGGTAAATTACTTCACGCACTAGTGTGTAAAGTATTTGTCCAAATTAATTTTTTACACATATTTGATTGGTAGTAGAAAAAATTTTGTATGCAATACGTGCGTAAAGCACCTTTTTTCACTCATGTGATTGTCGCACTCGCCTTAAAATTCACATTCGTGAAAAAAGGTTCACTTTACACACTTGTTGCAGAAATAACTATTTTTTATCATATTTTCGCTCTGTTAATTTGTTTTTTAATAAAACGATATTACGGTATGTGGTAATATTATTTAGCAAAGTTTTCGAAAAAAAGTACGTTTTCAGTACAAAACCTGAAGTTTTTCGAAACATTTTTTTATAGGGACCGGTCACAAATTTAAATTTGCGACCCCTAGTGAGAGATGTCAAAAGTTTTTGTATTAATATTTTGTCAAATTTTCACTAGAATTTCGAAAAGTCATTCGAAAAATGAAGCTGGAAATACATTTTGGTTTCCAAAATATAAAATTTAATCACCACGAAGCTGCATACAAAAAAGGTGTGGCTCTAGTGAAAGCTGAACATGTATTGCAAGTAGTTGAATGAAAAGTTGGAGGGGACTTATCCATTTTGAAAGGGCATGTTATGCGCCAAACCTCCATAAACAGCTCTCCTTATGCTGTTGAGCTACAGGTAGGTGTAACAATAAAATGGACGCTACAAATCCTCGACTGTCTTTCTGGCTCCCACATTTTACTACTTTTAGAGTTGGATCTGAAAACGATAAAGTGTAAAGTAACCAAATCAAAAACATAACACATAACACATAACACTTATGCCCTAAGTTGGGTATCAGATTAAAGGTCTCGATGTCCTCTATCTAAAAAGTCGATCCTGCCTCACGAGAACTTGCCGGAAAAAGGAGGCAAGGCAACTAATTGGGGCAAGGGCCCGCGGTCTCAACTTTGACACCTATCAAGTTTTGCCTTGAATGATGTGTCAAATTAAAGGTGTCGAAGTTG